ATGTTCATTAGTCACTCCATCAGGACCAGAGGACTTTCAGTATTTTAGTGTCTTTACCACACAGCTAATCTCTTCTGATGTAAATGGGTCTTTCGAATAGTGTTATCTTGTCCAAGGGACTCTCTGTTCAATACTTGTATCTCATCATCAGATATATCGAATTCATTATTTCTGTTTGAATAGTCAGGAGTTGCTAAATCCCTGAAATAGTCTCTCCAGGTGTTAACAATACTGACAGGATCGTTTGCTACTTTGTCGTTGTACTTCAAAGTGTTTATTGTTGACTGTTTCCTTCTGATACTTTTGATTCTCCTGTAAAAGTAGCCCACATCTACATCACAACTCTGTTCAATATCCCTGTATAGCTCTCCTGCAAGTCTACATTCGGCTTGACGTTTATTCCTGCGAAAGTTTCTTTTAGCATTTTTGTAGTTTTTATACAGTATTGACTGCTCATCACGTGGTCTAACTGCTCGTTTCCATTCTCTGCGGTGAAATCTCATATCATAATGGTAGGCATCCAGTTTATCCGACTTCCAGTAAGGTCGAAGGTAATGTCGATATACACCATTAGGGATTGTTGTTACCGAGGCTGAGAGGAGACTGTTTGTTACATGTGAGTTGTATCTCTCTATCAAAGATACCATGTCTGTCTGCTGGTTACTGTCCATTGTGAAGTTCAGGAGCTTATCAACTTCGCTGCTGTACAATTTAATATCTGTATCATCAGCTTTTGACCATTTGACTGAGATCTTAGAGGAGCGATAGTTGAAGGACGACCAACGTTGTATACGAAGTATGCTGCATACCGGATAGTGATCCGATACATCATATGACACGTCAGTATTGACATTGTAGCTATCTATGTAGCCTCGCATATATTCAGGGACGCATATGTAGTCCACAGTTGACTTCCTCGTATTGTCCTTGGAGTGAAAGGTAGCTTTGGGCGCTTGAGGGCAGATAGTGGATGTTGTTATTATATTCCTTTCGTTGAATAGGCTTTCCGTTAGAAGCTTTGTCCTTTGGCTAGTTGGATAGTGGTTAATATCAGCGTTGAGGTCGCCAGCTATTACACATGTTCCGACACAAGAATATTTGTCATAAGTGTTACATAGTGCATCCAAGGCGTCTCTATACTGGCTAGTGCTCCGATTAGTTGAAGGTAGCCTTGTCCCAAGAACATATAAATCTTCAAACGTAGGTTTAACAATCCTTGTTATCACAACGTGATTATCTTCAGATGGTACTTGCTTCGCTGTATATTCTGTTGATGTCCTGAGTAAAATAGCAATATCTCCAGATCCACGATTACTGGCACAGGTATCATCACAGATCACTGCGCTTACATTAAATTAATTATCCAATGAATGAAGATAGTTGAGATTGTCTGCTTTTAGCCAGTGTTCGGTAATAACAACCACATCCTTGTTATTAAGGAGCGAGATGAGCCGTGGTGTTCCATACATAAATGCCCTGATATTCCAGGTCGATATTCGAAGGGTGCACATTAAAATGTATAGGATACAAATGTAGTTTATGTTCATGGTGAATATATGTTATATCCTAGTGGTCACTTTTCCAATATCGTTCACATTGTCTTACAGGATCGCTTGACCATACTCCGTCACGAATGTCTTTCTATTTTTAGGTCGATTTTTATGAACATCTTTTCTGGGGATTTTTGTCTCCATTTCCGCATATAAAAGGTCAAGAAACGACTGAAAAGCACCGTTAGCGTCCCTTTCATCAAACAGGTCAGTTGTCAGGAATATGATTAACCTTGTATCTTTTGTTATTGGCCTTTTCCCTATCAGACCCAGTTTCTGGGCTATTTGATAAAAGTGAAATGGTCTTTTCTAAAATGGAGTGATCGGGGATTTTGCTACAACCAAATTGTTGTGTTATGTTAACAGCATCAGACATTGTAACTAAAAATAACACTAAAATACTTTATAAAACACAATTGTTCGTGTGGTACAATAGTAAATCAACAACCGCTCTGCCGCGAGAATAATATTTCAAACAAGTCTGGAAATAATTGCACGCTGTGTTTCCCATGTGATGAAACATCATTTGAAAGTTCATTGATGAAAAAGGAAAATAATTGAGGGCTTAATATACAGCCTTGTTTAACTCCGTTAGGACAATCAAAATAATCTGTATAAATGTTATCATTACATCTCACACACGCTTTTATGGTGGCATAGATTACCTTAAGTGCTCTCATCATCTTTCCAATCAAATGCTTTTTTAAAATCCACAAAAGCAACGTATAATTTCCTTTTCTTTTCGATAAACATTTATTAACAATTGCATTCAACGTGAATATGTGATCAGCTGGAGAATATCCCTGTCTAAATCCTGCTTGTGTCTAGGGTAGTTTACTTCTTATATTAGCCCAGTTTGTAAGTCTAGAGTTTAAGACAATTGTGTAAACCTTACTAATTGTACACAATAGAGATATCCCTCTAAAGTTATCTGGATTATTATTTGATAGCTTTCGTCCATTTCTCGGGAAATAATTCAAAATGATATAACTTATTGAACAAATTTCGCAGGAAAGGAGTTATTACATTTTCACAACATTTTAACATTTCAATGACCACATCATCAACACAGGGGGATTTGCATTCTTTAAACGCTTTATAGCCTTGTGGATTTCCTAGTCGGTAATGGGCGACTCCAAAATACACTGGTCAATCTCATCAAGTATAAAATCTTCATGAAATTGACATTCGACTTCAGCATGTAATACATCTGTACACTGAAAAACGTTTTTAAAATGATCAAACCAGCACTCTTTACTTATGTTATTCTTTGTTTCCCTACGACCTGATATACTACGTAACTCTTTCCAAAATGTGGTTGAATCAGAAGATAGAGATACAATGTAGCTTTAGTTTTGTTCGTGTCATAAATTGATAGTTTGATTTTGCTGTTCTGCAAACATGTTTATACTTATTTCTCATTTTACAACAGATTAACTTATTTTCGTTTTACTTTCATCCTCTTTGAATTTCCCCATGTATCCCCTTGCTTCCCGTTTTGCTCGTCTGCATTCACAATTATAAAACCCCGAATTTTGGGGTGAACTTTTAACACAAGGTACCTTCATACATTCAGCGGCACTAAGAAAAACGTTACCAAATTTTTCGAGGGCAAGATTGAAATCAAAAGTTAAAAGATCGATCAGCTCGTTAAAAGATGGACATAGTTTTGTTATACTTCCTTATATCACGCACATCACGCTTACGAGGGTTCCATTTATATTTGTGTGTTCTGGTGGAAAGATAATCATCACTTGTATATACTTTTGGGAGAAATGTGTCCAAATGTCGACATAGAGGCATATGTTTTGACGCAACTCTTGTATCCACAAACATGGATTGACAAAAATTAACTGAACCTATAAAATAATCGATTACGCAACATCCTTGATCTGCTATGTAAGTAAAACTACCCTCTTTGTCTCCAGTTGCCCTGCCGTTGAAGATATATAAATCATGATTGAAACACAGTGCCAGTAGCTTACGACCAAAAGCGTTTACAAATCTATCACATGCCTGTCTCTTTTCTACTGGATCAGGTTGTTCATCGGGAAAAGCTACATTGTTGAGGCCAGGTTGAATTAATGTCTCTGGTGAGTTGTTACCCAAGCCTACACGTACATTCAGGTCCCCACAGATGATGACCTCACAGTTTAAGTCCCTATGCTCAATCAACCACTGGTCAACCAATTCAATAGCGGTTGCCTTTTCAGCTGCAACCCATCAGCTCTTTAGCTGATGGGTGGAACAAACATTCCAAATAATAACAGGTGTTTGCGAAGAGTTGGGAAATTATCAAATGTAATGCATACGACATTGTGTATATCTAATTCAATCTGTTGGCAGCGCAGGTCTATACAGGTCTTAATCAACAACGTTACACCGCCTCACAATCTACCAGCCTTAGCTAGCCTATGAGCTTTTGCAATATGTGTGTCATAAGCTGACAGTTGAGGTATGGATAACGCATAGTCATAAATTTTTCAACTAGACATATCATTTCGAAGCCTTTTATGTAATCTAAAAAGTCTAAATCATCTATTTGTGAAAGAAACCCTTCAAAAGTCCATGTGACTATTTTGAAGTTTGATATGGAAATGGAATGTTCTACACCTGATAATTCAGAAGTGATGGTAGGGGCCGGGCCGTATTCCTACTGTCCACGGTAGCACTGTGCTCGGAATTGCTGTTGGGGACGGAGTCGTCAGCTCTGGGAGGTTGGGCATTCCGGGAAACAGGCGCAGTAATGGTTGATTTAGCATCTACATAATCCTTCAAATTTCGAAGGTCTCATCAGCTTCTTCAGACACGCCATAAAATACTACATTCTCCCGACGACTGAAGGCCTCTAACCTGTCGATATCAGAGTCTTGACTAGATACCTTGTCTTCAAGTTGTATCAAGTTGTTTATATCACTGTAGATAGTCTCCTGTTCAAGTCCAACCCTTTCTACCTCTGAGCGCACTTCTGAAAGTGAGTTTTCAAGTGATGAACACTTACGGCTAAGGTCGGTTAGTTGTGATTTAATTACACTCATCTCGGTAAACAGAAACTGTCGGAAATCCGTATATCTGCGAGGATATCTGATTTAATCTCAGTCTTTACATTGTTCAAATCTTCCATAGTAACAGGCACTGGGTTGATCTCAACATCACCAGAAAGTAGTATATGGATTCTCGTTACATATCCTGCTATGCAAAGACCGTCACAGTTGAGTAATGAAATCGCAAAACATGGCCGACATGCATGACTTGTCACAGGGATAACCACAGTGACGACAAATACACATTCGTGTTCATGTGGTTAATAACGATGGAGATCCTCAACGGCGTTAAAGAGAACTTGTGTGTCAGCTAGCAGAATTGACGACAACGTGAGGTGGTATGTAAGTGTAACCGGGGTTGTGGTTGTGATCCGGCTCGGGCCGTTGGGAAACACAGACACAGGCAGATGATGATAATGTGTTTATTACAATGGGGGTGGCTGCTGTTGAACTATCTGAAGAAAAGAAAATATCCTTCCTCCTCAACAGCAGCACATGAAGTCATATATTTGCAAATTTACAGGTATTATTTATCTTAAATATATCAGTACAAAAGCCCTTTTAAAACTATTATGAAACTTTAATGTTTAATTACTACTATCAGACTTTAGGACACTTGAAATGCACATGGGCCAAAATGGACCATGTGGTTAATTATTTTACAAACAAGTTTTATACTATTAATTATCCATTTACTAATTTAAAATTACTTTAAATGATATTATATATGTTATTCAATTTAACTCAGCACCCTAATATAGATATTAATTTCTGACAGAAGCAGATGAAAACAGATTGAAAAAAGACCATTCCATACCTGAAGAAAAGAAAATATCCTTCCTCCTCAACAGCAGCACACGAAGTGAGGAGGAAGTCAGGTATCGAAGGAAGCTACCTGTAGAGGACCAGGGTGGCCAATCAGAAGACAGATTGCATTAAGCATCAAAGGAAGTGCTTAATGCAAGATATAAATAGACTGAGGGAAACCCTACAGGTGTGAAAAAATGTCTAAAGATAGACAGAAGGTTGAAGGGGAAGATCTGATGAGAGATTCCCAGAGACTGAAAATGAGGGTGTTGAGTTGTTTAAAGAGTTATATACATGTACTGACATTCAACTGTAGACAAGACAATCATTGAACATATAGATGATGATGTATGAATAATGATGTAACTAGGAAGAATATGATAAAGGAACCCTGCTACATAAGCAAGACCATACCGACTGATTGATACACGCAGCGGTGTATCAGAAAACAACGTGTGAGGTGTGTACTCAGCGTCAATGGCGATATGTCTCACCTGTCGTGTCCCTGTCGGGTGAGTTCTGGAACGGTACATTGGGTCTCTACTGTTAAGAAAACTATTAATGAATTTGGTTTTGGCTTTTTATGGCAAAGACAGAAGGAACAATACTCTGAAAGACTAACAGATGTGTATATACAGCAACGGTACTATTATTATCACCAAAATGTAAATATTATGTGATGTTTAAAATTCAATTTAAAACCGAAGAATATCTTTTGAAACCTCTTTTGCCTTAAAATAGAATATACTTTTCTCGAATAATATGCTCATCGCATACTCTTAACATTGAACAAGGGAGATACACAAGTATATTAAAAGAACATATTGAGTTTGCAAATTGTGCAATAAGCAGGAAGTAGAAGATGAGTACCATCATTTCTTTGTGTGTCCAGTACATGATCATTTGCGTATTGAATATGTATCGCAAGATATGTACCAGCCACCAAACATTTTTAAGTTTACAGTACTAATGTCTTCTGAAAATATTAACGTGTTAAAAAGCGTGTGACATCAAATGAATTTCATGCAATCAATTATCGAAAATGTATGATAAAGGATTTATTAATACTACTACACTATCCATGTAATCTGTACTACAGGCCCCAATAAATAAAGATTGAAAACCAAACATAGTATGTTGTAGCACAGGACAACAATACATACAACATTAGGTACAATGACTGAAAAAGCCAAATTTGTATTATTATGCACAATTGCAACTTAATATACTGAACCGCAAAAGAAACGTCACGCCTTTTTGCATAAAAAGTTGTCATTTAAATATCTGGGTATTTTTTATTAAAGTTTCTAAAATTTAACCTAACCTTGTCCGGAAAATGAAATTTGATGATTAAAAAACAAAGCAGATAACAATAAAGCCGATCGCCCAAACGCGGCCGTGGTAACCCGATGCACGTGAGCTCCGTGAAAATTGAAATGCCCATGCGTTCCCCCTTTTCTTGTCCTATAAAGATCCACCCAGATCTGAGAACATTCATTCGTTATTGAATTGCTGCCACATGCCAAGATTGACAAGAAATCAGCGACACCAAGCCCTTGGACGATTGCAAGCTGGACAAACCGCCCGGCAAGTAGCCAATGCATTTCAAGTCCACGTAAGGACCAAATACAGGCCCCAGCAATGGTACCAGACCACCAGCACTACAGATGACCGACCACGTTGTGGAAGACCAAGATTCACCACCCAGATTGTGCGACAGCATCTTCAAGATCGCTTTGTTACTGCTGCGGAAACTGCACGACAGACCATGGGTACACACCAGCGACACGTTAGTGCAGACACAGTGCATCGACGATTGACGAGCAGACACAGGCCACACCGAGGACCCATTCTGACACCACGTCATCGCCGGGATCGTCTTCAGTGGGCAACACAGCACCAGCATTGGCGCCACCAGCAGTGGAGAAGAGTCCTCTTCTCAGACGAGAACCGTTACTGTATCTCAACAGAATAGGGCAGAGAAAGAGTCTGGCGACGCTGTGGGGAACGTTATTCGGATGCTTGTGTTGTTGAGGGAGACTAGTGGGGTGGTCCGTGGATCATGGTGTAGGGTGGAATTGGTCTTGCACAGAGGGTCGGCGCTGTGGTCTACCAGAACATTGGTCCAGGGAAGGCAATGGTGTCACAGCAGCTCGGTACATTGATCAAGTCTTGAGGCCACACGCCATACCTCATTTGGCACGTCGCCGCAACCACAAGTTTCAGCATGATAACACCCATGCCCACACTGCGAAAGCAACAAGAGACTTTCTCCAGCAGAATGGCATCAAAACTATGCAGTGGCCTACCGTCAGTCCCGATTTATATCATATATCTATCCATGGTGACATTTCTTTTGCGGTTCAGTATAGAAAAAAAAACACATTCACTTAAACCACCCTTATAGGGGACAATACTCTATTTTCTAGTCAGTGTTCAGTCGACGGACATTGGTATCCGCCACTTTAATACGGCGCCCTTTTTTATTCGCATATTTGAAGAATCTGATTGTGAAAGACACATATGATACTATATATGAAGACTTGGTTGCATAGGTCCATTGTGCTTAATTTCGATGATCCTGTGGCTGGAATTGTGGAATAACATCCCCAATATATTCCAGGGGAATCTAGGATTGATCCAAATATCATTGATGAAAGAGCCAACCCCCCTTTGGTACGCTGGATGTCGAGCCTTCTCTGGGTACCATAAAACGTTTATCTGGAACGCGGACGCCAATATTTTAATTTTGACATTTATTTTTCGGATAGCACACACACACACGCACGCACGCACTCGCGGCGTCGAAGTTTGAAAGAATAAAAAAGATCGGTTGCATCTGCCCTACAGGTACCGACTTAAATGTTCAAACAAATAATGTAGGGATATGAAAATGATTTGCTTGTTCCCTCATTTTGTCTTCATTAGCACATAATTACAAATCACAAAACAGTCAAAACCCAAAGCAATTCATATCCCTGCATTTCAGCGGTGTAATGTCATTTTGTGTGGCTTTGTTCTTGATAGTGAGGTTGTCAACCCACTTGGTTCAGACAAAAGGAAACATAAACTTCTTGGTCTGTATTTCACTCTCGCCAATTTTGAACTGTACCTAAGATCCAGTATTGACCATATGCAGTTGGTTCTATTGTGCACAGTCGGTACCTGTACTTACAATGTCCTTTAACCATTAGATTTATTTATTATTTATTATTTGTCTGTTTTATTTGCAGTATTTTGTGCACCGAATTCGATAGATCAAATGTCCCCTCAATCAATACAAGTCAAGATACACCACAACTTCCAGGAACAAGTTTCTGTAGCTCATCAACATTTTCAGTTCACAAAAGTCTAAACATATTGTCACAATCACCATCAAGATGTCAAGCAATTTCATCCCGTTCCACGTTTGTAAGTCTTACAATTAGTTACAGCACTCAGTCCACCAAGTAGTGCATCATCCTCAACTGGCTCATCACCATCCCCAAGTCCGATCCTTATTGAAGTCGGAAATAGAGCTCCAAACTAAATTTCATATACAATGGGAACGTCTACCCAGGGATATTTCAGCATGTTTAAGGAACACTCAGCGTTTAACGGGACGTATTAGACTGCGCGTTGTCAGAGATGTTGTGGATCAAGTCGCTGAAGTTATCCACCGTCCAACAAAGAAACAGTTTGGTGCCATTGATGAGAGTGTTGTGTACATGTATCCTAAAAGCCTCCGAGATAAGATGAAGAATGTTGTTGTTGGGACAGGGTATGACTCACTTGGGATGCAGTTTGTCAACCGAAATGACAATTTAAACAGCAGACCAGTAAAAGGAACTCGTCAGGTTCAGACACGGATCAATGTGAAGGAAGTTCAACTGAGAATTCTCCAAAGAATGCATATGGGTGTGTTAACTGGTCACCTCCTGAAACAGATATGAAATCTGCTGAAATAGCTAGAGAGGATCTAAAACTAATGCACAACGAGGACCCTGGGAGTTGGTCATGGGATATACCATTGAGGGACATCTAAAATCGTATAATCTGCAGAGAGTGACCTGTCATTGAGTTAATGGACACGTGTCCCTTTCTACTTGAAGTTAGAGGCATGTTTGTTCATGTTAATGGACTTTTGGGGGTTAATGTGAAGGATGCCAAATACAATGCCTTTTGGGATAAAACTCCCCGTTTAAAGTGTCTCTTCCCCGGAGTGCATCACATTCAACTTATCATCTACAGAGGACAGAGCAGAAGCCTTGTTTCAAGAAGCTGACCGTTAGAGCAAGATGAACTATGTGGAAGACTGATTAACCTCTGTGATTGTGTGTGCGGGGGACACTACTGGGGTGTTGAAGAAGTATATGATGTAAGTTTCTTTGCTTATAAACATTTAGCTCACTAAATATCTTTCTGAACATCATGCAAGTTTCTACTTAGGTCGAATATGCAACATGACAATGGTATGTTTAGATTTGAAAATGGCATTTGAATTAAGAGTTTATCTGAGGATAAAATACAATTTTAAAAAACCCAATCCAAATAAAATTGACCTTTGCATCTAAAAATTGAAAAACAATTGAATTGTCAAAAATACCCCCATTACATAGCTAATTACATGTAGTATTGAAATCATGTTTTATTACCATCACATGATAAATCAGCCACACTCACCTCAATTATAAGTATAAGAGTTCACTGCATATACATTTCTGTAATGTAGCTGGTGCTGGTGGGCAACAGCCTGTGCTAAACCCGTTGAGTCAACTATGAACTCAACTAGCCCCAACTTTTCTTTAGGCATATTTTCAATGCATCTTAGTTTTTAGGCTGAACTTATTGAATGCACAAATATTGACTATACCAAGGCTTTGGACCAGTTACCAACTCCAACAATGTCTCATTTCAGATGTCAATCGAACAAGTTTTCATTCAAAGACAATGGGGTGCAACATAATACATAAAGTACTTATATTTGTAAATAATTAACTTGGTACAAAACATGCAAAATGGACATACTGATATAAAACAATGCCAAGATATTGTAGGCATGATGATGTATGGTTATGACTGACATATTGTATTTTACTGCAGGACACAACGACCAAGAAGGACACAGAGAAGGCTTGCCAGAAGGCTTATTCACATCTTGCAGTTTAGGGTAAACCTGTATTGTGATTAAGTGGACAATAATTGTAAAACAGTAGCTGTGGATGTTTCTAATGTATGATGAAATCAATTTACTTCGACATGTTAGGTAATGACTTGTTTTTTAAAGAAAATGTATCTCCAAAGTGTGTGCAGTGAGTTGCAAGGTCTAAATTAACCAAGCATATAAAACAACAACATCCAGTATCTATATTTCGTTTCTTTAGTTGAAGAAATATGTTGAAAATAAATATGTTTTTTATTAATTGAAGAATAATCCAATCTGTGTGTTGTTTTCAGGTCCAACTATTCTTGGTGGTACAAGCTACTCCCTCATCCTGGATCGGATTGTTGTGACTGGTCGGATATCTAGTTTTGGCCTAGCTGTCACTGTGTTGTTTGCTTCCTACCATGTCTTGAACATAGAGTACCCAGCCAAAGCAGGACCAGTACTGGAGTTCATTTAGAGGTAGGGTCAGCGGTCAACACCATGAGGTTGTAGGTGTCGACATTAAACATGAAAGTCAAAGGGTCCTAGCATAGCACTAATAGTGAAAGGTAAAGGTTTAGGGGGAGCCAAGATACAAATATCTTGGACCCACCTTAACTTCAAACACAAGGCTACCTTAAGCTAGTCAGCTACTCGTTTGCTGAAATAGATTTGTTGGAAAACAATGACAATTTAATTTTCAGTTAATGATAGTTTTGTGATGGCTTTGTACAACTTGTTTTGATGAACCCATTAAGTCAATACATGTTTGATACACTGGGGTCGTGGAGTTTCTGTCATAGAATCACTGCTTTGGCTCGTCTATGATATAACTGGAATGTTGATGAGTGCGGTGGATTAAACAGTAATTATTCACTCATTCTAAAATGTTCGTGAATAAACAATAAAACCATTTTGTTCAAGAATAACCTGGTAAGTATAATTTTTCAAAATATTTTAAATTTCCAGGTGCTTTATGGAATTAACCCAGACCGAGGTTGCAAAACAAAACGGAAGAAGCTCACATCAGGTGTCAGTGCAGAAGTCTTGAAGCTGCGAAATGATCTGTCACAGTATCAATGGATGCCATAGAACTTCCGAAAGTGTGATGTCAGATGTTTGACAACACTGGTGAAGCTTGTCAAGGGTAGTGATTTGTATTTACCTCCTTAAGGAAAGGATGTATTTTAAATTAAAAAATAATTTTCAGAGATAAAGTTCCAGTTGTTTCCAATTTTAAAAGTTTTAATAATCTATTTTGAATTTCCCTTTATATTAGTATTATCGCCTGCTTATACATTACAAACAAAATGAAAGATTGTTTATCACGTGTCAAACATCAAGGTGACATAAACACCTGAAACTGTATTGTGAGTGAAGCAATGTTCTGAAAATGTTGCATTCTATGCATCTACACGACAGGAAGATAACTGTATGCTTATCAGAGTTCAGTTAAGAAAGTGTCCGTTGAAATTAGTTGAAAATCATATCATATTGTCCAGAAGAATGTTGTTGTCATGACAGTTGACATGTAATTCATAATTTTAAGTGAGGAATATACCTGGAGAGGTTTGTTGGTGAGTAGACTATTAAAGATGAAGATGAGCCTTAAGCTTATATCTCTGGAGGCATAGGTGGGTCAGCTGACAGGGGCACTGATCTAACGCAATTCCCCGGGACTGGTTGTTGCCTTTGTTATTGTTTTTTCCCAGTGAGTACCCGGATGTATAGCAGAAATCTAGACTAGTTCGCGACCTCTGCTGCGCCATTCGTAAGCGCATTAATCACTTGTATGGGTAGTAATAAGGGCGTATGGTCACATTGATCAACAAAATGAAATACAGTTTTCGAGATAATAAGGAAATGTAGGTATATTTGTGGGTAGCATCGGTAATGGTGACGTAGTTTTGATAAGTCACTTGCTTGGTAATTTTGCGATTTTCGTTTACACTATTTTGACTTGCAACACAAAGTTTCACCTGAGCATTGGTTTTTGATAGTGTGTATATTTTTGTCAAAATGTGTAACATTTTCAAATTTATTAAACGCCTAAATATTCAGTTATTTTACAAAGTGACTGAAAAACATTTCCATCTGTATTATTATGATAACGAATTCCAAACATTTTGATGTTTAATGTCATCACCAAGAGACTGAAAATGTTACGTTGAAAAGTACATTTCTATGTTGTTTGGCTTCTAATCCTACATAATAATCAGTTTTTATGTTTGTAGGCCCTTTTAATCGTCTTAATCAATCTGGACAGATTTTTTAGTCAAAATTACTGAAATATTTACACATTTTATAAATTGCCTGAGAGAATCACGTTTTACAAATTGACGGTAATATATACACGCTTACAAAGGAAAAGGCCTGTGAAAACAACGTCTATCGCGCATTGAAGAATTTCCCAACCAAGACGTACGTAGAGAAACAAGGACGAATCGGTTCAATGTTACAGCAAATGAAGGAAAACAAAATGCAAATACCATAATTACAACCTACCAAATATATGCGTATAAATTTTAGGCAGCTTCCTTGTTCGAGGAATGTATCCATGAATATCCACACAAAGGAACAATATCCCACTCGTCTGCAGCTGTACAAAAAAAAAACTTATTCGATGTCACGTGTCTCTGTAACAATCACATATTTTAAAAAATATATATCGTTTGGGGATATTTTAACCCGTGTCCGTTTCTCAACTGATCACTTGGATTGTTTCAGGTGTTTCACATAGGTGTCAAGTCTCAAGGGTCAGCTGAGAAAGCCCACGTGACAACTATTTTCATAACGTCCACAGTTCCTAAAAAATCCATTGAGTGATAGATAACAATGATCAATCAATCAACGTATTATCAGTTAACCCTTTGAACAAAGTATGTTGTTTTTCATCGGCACTTCACGCCATGATATGGTGTATTCCCTTTGTTTTAGTAAACCTAGACATGTAAACACTCACTTTTGACATATCCACTGTGCAAAATTACAGGGATTAATCAATCAACGTATTTGCTGTTAATCCTTTGATGACTAGGAACGATCCGTTGATTTACAAAAAAAGTAAATCAACTGATCATTCACCTCTTGCTGGTCTGCCACGTGCATATTACATAACACACATTTCACCTCACTTCAAACCTGGATTTAGATTGAATAATTACCCCAGACACAATAAATGCCAAATGGGAACCTTTGTCAGGTAATCTAAGTGGTGCTACCACTAATTGTACCTGTAATAAATTCATTAACTGAGCATCAAGTGAATGACGACAAATACACAAGTGTAGGGGTTATACGAGAAAACGTGGATGACAACAAGGGAGTAGATATCGTATTATCGACGCAATCCGAAATCCGAAAATGCTTTCACTGCATGGATACTTTTTTTTAGTATTAAACTATAACCATCTGGGGTATTTCCAAATGACGACATCCGATGAGCTCCGCCGTTCTTTTTGTCTGTTTGTTGAAGGTTGAAGAAATTAATTAACATGCGCCCTTTGTCGAAATCTTTATAGATCCCGGTTAACTAATCAGTGTTTATGCAAAAATGCGTAAAACAAATATTGCCTCCAGCCACCAAGTTTATTTAGCTGTCCTTGCAGACGGTAGCCCAGTCTCTGGTCACGCTCAGTTGCGTTGCGTATCATCCGGGTACTCACGGGGGAAAAACAATAACAAAGCCAACAACCAGTCCGGGGAATTCCGTTAGATCAGTGCCCCTTTAAAAAATGAAGTACTACACATTTTAAGTTTGTTGGTTAAAGCCATATAATTCGCATGATCTGTTTCTATAAAGAAATAAGAAAAAACTATTTCATTATTACTGTTGTGTTTTCAATATTTACTCATGGCGCTCTTGGACAACACGCACGCACGCACGCACGCACACACGCACGCACACTTTCTCATTCTTCCCTTATCGTTTTTATCTATTCAAGAAATTATTTACATGGTACCGTTCAAGAAGTGTCGTGCAACAATCTCTGGTAGAATAACAGATGTGAAGAACTGCATCGCCTGATCAGCTACTGGTTACCAGAAGGCCACACAAGGTGTGATTCTCTCCATAAAAATATCATCATTTGTCCAAACAACAAAGTCACAATAATCATGATTTGTTACAAATAGTTGTGTTTGCACCTGGTAATAGTACTGACTGTCCCTTTTCAGTTGCAGTGACCCATTAACTTCCTCTAAGTATACTATATTGTTATCAATTAAGTCATCCTTTGCACAGTAAGGACATTTAATCTCAAGGCAGCCCCTTCCACAACAGCTACAGTCAACAATACCATCAGGAGTCGCACCAAGATGTGGATACTCACAGCTAAGGAATAAACCACATTCCTCAACACTGAAGTTATGGTGATGCTCACAAGATAATTTCTCATAGGCATCCCTTGCTGTTACCTCATGGCTGCATCCCCATCTTGTAGCTGGATTAGAAAACTTGACCTCAGTCGGGTAACAGATATGGCGAAGTAAACTCCTAGAAGTGTCCAACAATGATGTACGACTTGCGCTCTTCATCTTTGATGCCGTTATACGTCCAGCCCTGAACTGAAACCAAAGTGGGGAACCTGCTTGGTTCTTTGTTGCTGCTTCAACTGCTGTAACCTCCTCTTCTGTGATGCTCAGCTGATCTAAAACATTCTGACAGTGTTCTAAAACTTCATCATATGGGATGCCAACCAGACTTTCATCAAACAGCTCAGGAATCACTTGTGGAAATTGTGGTTGTAGTGGTACAGGTACATATTGATCACTATAATCACTATGAACTGCTAGACAAGATGGTCTGTCTGCATTAATAGTATGAAGAAAGGTGTCAAAATTCTGTGTAGATGCAGGTCCTAACTTATGGGTAAGTTTAGCACTCGATGAACTTGAACATGTAGCAGATGAATCATCAATTAATAAGTCAAGTTTCTTCTTCAATGTCTTTGAAGAGGTAAAATCAATGTCTCTTAAAGATGCATATTCAACCTTTTTCATCAAAGCTGGAAGTTTCCAGTAGGCTGGTTCCTGTGTTACGGTGGTACTTTCCCTTAGTCTAACAATAGCTTCAACAGCAAACATCACACTTGCTACATGTGTGCACGATTCTCCCAAACCTGCCATACAATTGCAGTGGGCTGACAAAACTTTGCCCGTGTCATCAGTGATGAACCAGGGGTGCAATGGAGCTTCATTCAAGCGCTGGGAATGCATTACCTGTAAACATACAGTGGAGGAGTTAATTTTATTTCAGATATAAAATTTACATTTAAAAAGTGAATGAAAATGATAGTATTCTCAATTCTAATACTTCATAATAATGGACTGAGCATTTAGACGTTTCATGAAAGGATTGTGAAGGTAATTTGCATGTGTATAATTTCAATGACTTGCTGAAGACATTTTGGATTCTGTCTGAAATATTATCTCCAGCTGTTATTTAATTTGTCTAACCGCTTTATAATATCCACGTAACCCACCCGAATGTTATCACTACGTAAACACATATTTATGTATTGGCTTGGCTCTTGTACAGTAGCAGTTGTATAGGATGTAGGTAAGCTGTTGTTTACTTACTTTTGACTTCACAACGTGAATGGCCTTTCCATCTTCGACGGACAAATGCACATACGAGACAATGTCTCGTACCCAACCACATACAAATCTATCATATGCTTCCAAGCTCCTGTAGTTTCTGATGTCTGATAAACTACAAAAAGGACTGGGACTGAATACCAGATAGTTGACGATGTCGATGTAGTTAGTTGCCGGCAAATGCTTGTGGTCGTCACTCCATTTCGATTTCGGAATCCTGTACGGATCTTCTTTGTCGATCACACCAGTCTTCTCGTGATATCTTATACGAGATACTTTGTCCAATAAATTAGCGTAGTTATCCATTACAGACGATTGCGAGATGACAAATAGGAGCAGATAGACGCCGACAATTGCAGAGCGAGTGTGCTGCTAATGACGCTATATTGTTGCTAGGGACGCGAATACAACCAACATGGCGGCGCGCACGGCATGACGGGATAACTCTGAAAACCCTCTATTACATTTTAGTAACGCAGTTACTTCCCTTGACTTGTATCTATGGTAACGCAAAGCGCCATGATAAACTAGTTCCACTGTTGGTACACGAAGCAAGATTAGCGCTTTTACTAGATTAGGTAGACAGAAGCCCAGTCTAGCGATGTCTGTCTCAGTGCCAAAACGAAGGATTTGATTCAAGTCTTTGCCGGTATTCTTGTGGTAAAGTATATTTACTTATGTTATTGATTGGTAAATAATTAAATAGTTCATACAATAGTGCTAACCTCTAGTTACTAACGTAACAATTTAACATCGGACCTCCCTGTTATGTCGGAAATTAGATCCAGTTGGCCTAACTGTATGTGTTATGCTGGGACACGGGTCGGGGGGTGCTGAGTAGGACCCGGGTACCCACAGGACTACCCGGACCCGTGGTGAGTTACGTGATACATTTTTTAATGACAAAAATTATCTAAAACTCTATGGTTACACTATGAGTCACTAATGTTCCCATTTCTTTCTGACAATGCACCCATTCCTTCCGACTTTTATGTGTTTGAATAAAGATAAAACTTCATGCAGTAAACCACTAAAGTAGGTCACTATTAAATTGCATTTGGTTACCCCCCTTGGTGCCACGGGATTACGAATATATTTGGTCCCGTGAAAATGCCCCTTTTTGAATGCGAATTAAGATGTCAAACACTGAGTGCGCAAAATCAAAAGTATAACCATCATCACCCTATCATCTCAGCTTCAACATCTTGGAACTCATATTTTATACAGTGCTATGGATTGTGATATATGGTGAGATTAGTAAAGTGGGTACCTTTTTTCTGCCATATGTTGAACCGCGGACCTATAAATCCAAGTCCGTGGTTGAACTTCACATGAATTTGCCAGCAATTTTTTTATTATGCACCCATATTACATACACCAAACTATTGTAATATCAGACAGCCAATTTAAAAAAGAGATTGATCAGAGTGGTCAGAAAGATTTACTTTTCCCCCACTGTACAGCTATTGGCGTAAGACTACTAACATTTACAGTTTAGTCCTCAACGGAAGTTTTTTGTTCAAGTATTGCATATTTTTATCGCGTCATGGCGGTTTAGCAAAACGACAGATGCTGATTTACAGAAAATATTCAAATCTTACATACAGAATCATAGCTATGATCGTTAATATTTAGGTGGTATAGTGTATATTTATGGGCAGGAAGTTAATGATCAAAACGTAAACATTGAATGGCCAAGCATGAAGTGATCGACAGGGCATGTTTGCATAATATCTGTGCTGCGATTTCTTGTTTATAAGTTTTCCTACATGCTCGCCCGTTTCGACAAATAACTGCTGTTTTTTTAATATGAAATGACGAGGAGTCATGTGTGATTGCTCAAACTACCTGACTGTGTGAATGAATTGCCCTAACCGATTCACATTTTGTCACAAAAGGAGATTTCAAAAGTGTGGCCCCGACATCTAAAGTGGTTTCACATGTGGTAGACCAGCCTCCGAACTACTGAAAACATCAAGATAACTTCTAAAATGATGACAGCAATTTTGTTTGCACCTTGGTTAACCGCTTATGGATACGATGTGCTGTAAAATTGGATTTGGATTTGTCTTTCCTTTCATTGAAACTGTGATAATAGCGCTATGATTGGTTTGCTGAAATAGTATTTTCCATGAGCCTAATGTACATGGTTCATGCTTTCATTGTACAAGATGATTGATAACCAATTGCACAAGCTTTTTATAATCAAATACACATTATAAATCTCCTGAGAAAATGGAATATATTATCGTAACACAACAGCTCGTATTTCCAACATTCTGCCATGGATATTAGATCTTATGAATATTAGATTTACAAGTTATTAACGTATGATAATCTATTGCAAGTTCTCATCTCTTATTTGATATGTTATCTGAAATGTCAGCAATGAGTAAACGCTATATTTTTTTTTCTTTCAATGACATTACAATCTGCAATTTGATTTGTGTAGGCTTATAGACCATTGGTGATTTCGAAGCTGTGAATTTGTCGTCTGGACAGGTGTGCGTGATTTGACCTTGGATGACGTCACATCAAATAGCTGATCTAGTGTTGTCGTCGTATAAGGGATACACATGTTTTCAGTTTCCACATAATAATATTCTCTTTGACTTTCCAGAAAGTAGATCTTGTACATTACGATTGGGAAGATTTCCATGGCAAACGGCGAGTGAATGAGACTGTTTATCACTTGACTTACACTGTTAGAATATTTGGCGCAGTTTTCTAAATTTGGTATGTTGACATGTGCTCTTCATATCTGTTTGAAGACTTGATATTCCAAGAAAATAATGTGCATATAGTTGAGTAAGGGAATGGAATGTTTTACTGTGAGAAATTTAAGGTGTCAAAATGGATCCAATATTAAACAACCTTTTTAATATTTTAGCTTCATATATCGCATGGTTATATTTATAACATAAACAGTGAAAGTAATTAGATCTACATGCAATATATAAATGATGAAATTCTGAATGACAAAATGTTTTCAGTGTAAATGTGATTAAGTTTTGATGTTTTGAATAGTTTTCATTATGTTATTTTCACTGTTAATTATCTAATTTATCAAATACTTCAATCAGTGACATACATATATAGTAATAATTATTTTGTTTTGTATCCTTAGTAAAAATAGAATTTGTAAAAACAATCGTGTCTGATAGCATAAGGATGCATTCTTATGGTTCTTTTGTCACAATTTTAAATTGTAAATGTTCCCTCCAAGCTGTAGTTTAGCTAGGCCAAAAGACAAAAAGGAAGGACAAAATAACTAAAAAACATTTATATTAAAGACTTTGCTAGTTTGTTTTGAAGTTCAATACCAATAATATATTTTTCCTTTTATGACAAATAATTCTATTACTTTCATTGACCTACGATCTTTATCTATTTCAAACTATTCCTTTTGTAGAATGGGATGAAATGGGAAACTGTACCCGAAATAAACTGTCACATGTCCTTGAATGTACATGTACATACCTAGGTGTAAATACACTTCTAAAGTAATATTTATAAAACAGTATGAAAGAAAAAGTTGTATTTCATGGACTTGCCATACAAGTATATTTTGAGCAAAGGTCTAAATAACCCCATGGATGCCAGAGGGAAATGTATGTTTCTCCTCTTCAACCCTCACTTTGAAGTTAAATATAATTCAACATACCGCTCTAATAAGCGGCGATATTTGCTAATACATTTGTATATTGGCTAGTGAACAATCCCAATTAGCACCCCTTCCAATTGATCAATGTACACAAGACTTATTTATTCATGTATAATACGCACTCATGTGTTATATGCACCCTTAATTATGGGAAATTAAATTCTGGAAAAATATATCTGTTTTATTTAAACATTTCAGGCAGTCAACATAAACCACAAAATTTACGGTCTTACAACTCTGGTCTTTTTCACCAAAATAATATTCAAATAAGAGCACCCTATTTTTAATTTTGAGAGCGCCCTGGGCGCTTATTATGTTGAATACGGTACATCACGCTCACAGATATACTTAACAGTTTTGAATACTGTGGGAGATTCCCTGTTCTGTGATGTCATCAACTGACATTTTAGGCCAAACAAAATTACTGCAAATGACCTCTGAAAATTAGGTATGTCGTAAATGTCCCTACTTTTTACACATTACTAATCACCATTCACAGCATTACTAGTATTTACAGCATGTTTTGAAATCTAAATTTACGGATATATACTCGGAGAAATGAATTTCAAAAATAGCATATTTGCGATGACAGTCTTTTATCAAATTACCAATGATAATTCCGGAGACTGAATTAGGAAGATACACAAAACCTGTAACATGTTTAGTAAATAGACTCTCCAAGTTGTGTACAAACTGTGTATATAATGAATAATGATTCACTATGTAACAATTTAACTGCATTACTAACAAAAATGAATATACCCCGGGGTAGATTCTGGGAGGTCCCAGAGTATACCCCCGGGAGTTGATTCTTGGAAAGGGCGGGTAGATTCTGGGAGCTCCCAGAGTATACCCCCGGGGGTTGATTCTTGGAAAGGGGGGGTAGATTCTGGGAGCTCCCAGAGTATACCCACGGGGGTTGATTCTTGGAAAGGGCGGGTAGATTCTAGAAGGCCCCAGAATCTACCCAGGTATACTTTGAAAGAAGGGTATACTCTCAGACTTTTACATCGGCTATGAAATGCCTGTAACATCACATATATTTCAAACTCAGCTCCGATACATACATCATTGGATTTTAGAATAAAATGACAAATGGTCTTTGTCACCAAAAGTGAAGTAGGTGTGAAAACAAACACTGTGCTCTGAAAACTGCACTTGTTTGAAATGTAAACAAAGCAAAATTCAGATTTTACACAATGTAGCAATTTCTCCTATTTTTAGCTGTCCATTCGTCTGTTCGTTTGCATACATTGGTTCAACATTCTCAGAATATGCATGGGAAGAGAATCGTAGGAAGAATTAGGGAATTAAATATACATTGCAATGATCTGATACATTCAACAGAATGTCAAAGTTTTTGTCCTGCATGACACCATAACAGGCAAAATCACGCACAAAATCAACAACAGTATTTATTGGAATTTCTGACTATTTTCTTTTGGTTTCAATGAAAAGCATAAAAACAAATATCATTACACTTATAGTTAGAATGTTTCTGATTACTTACATGTCACATTTATGTATATACATCCCTGAATCAACAAAAGTCACCTTATAAAATCCTGTGTACTGTTGTCAGTGAACACCATTTTGTAAAAGTTGGTCACTGGTAGTGATGTCATACGTCAACATTGTTGTACATATTTGGTAATTTCTTTGAGGTGAAGGTCCTTGAATGAGAGTACACACAATACTTGTATCCTGCTGTTTACAGCTTCAATTATGATGTAGATTTTGCATATCTGTTATGTTTTTTTTACACAATTAATTTCACTTTGGATACTTATCAATTTTAATATGATGAAGGTAGATATAGGCCACAACATGAACCTTTGATAATTTCCTGTTTGTTTGAACATTATTTATATCAGAAATTGATAAGTTTAAGTGTCCTGTATGATATTTCTATCCTTTAGACAAGTGTTAGAAGGTGAAATGTAAATGTAACTTCAACATGTACCGGAACTTATTTCTTTGGAGCATGATACACATG